AGGCTGCTCACTACGACCGAGCTCACAACTTGAGCGATGGCAGCAGCTCCTTGTCGACGACGCCCTTGATGAGCGTGCTGCCGTTGATGATTTTGGTCGTGGCAATGATTATGTCATACGGACCTAAGCCAGGTTCAGCGCCGACCACCCATTATGTCGACCACGTACATTCCGGCTGCTTGGACAAATGGCGGAGTGCGGCGATCTCCATGAACGTGACGCCACCGATGAAGTAGACCACCATGACCTTGCGGTCTTCGTCGCCAAGCCCTTCCTTCTTGGGCGGCGCATCTATGTATCCGCCATCATATCAATGTATCAACAACCAAGTCGATACCGGAGTCGGCGTCGCCCGACTTGGGCGGGAGCTGGCTGATCTCGTCACTCGGGCCTGGAAGCTGCTTGAGCGTGTCGGCGATCGTACGCCAGCCGGTCGTGTGCGCCATCTTGTTGGTCGCGGCAATCTCGACGAGGCGCACGCTCAATGGCGCATAGCCTTTGGTCACATACCTACAGCGTACGAATGCATCAATCTATCAATGTATCGAGGCGAAGGAATAGATACGCAATGTCCTTTGGGTTCATAACGTTGACGTTGTCGTTGATGAGACGCAGCGACTTGCGCACGGTGAGAAACGCTGAGGAGCTCGCGACTGGGAAGAGACTGTCTTGGCGGCGGAGGAGGCCAATCTTCTCGAGGTTTGTGAGCACCGGCAGCATTTCAAAGCCATAAGTCTGGATGATTTCACGCCGAAGGTGGTCGTACGCCTTGGCTTTGATACCGCCGCTCGTCAGCGACTGCAAGCAGAGCAGCCGAAGCACCTGCATCAACATATCAACTATGATGCAACTGCGTTTTGATGTGTTTTCGAGGTGTACCTTGAGGAGCGGTTCTTGGACGCCAATAAACTCTTCCAGCTCGTCAATGAGCACTTGGCCTTCGAGCATCGACCGCTCCGTAAACCACATGTCGTTGAAGCTCTTCGAGTCGGTGGTCTTCTTGAGCAACTAGGATATCGCCGTGTATAACCCTACCCCTTCCACATCGAAGAGTACCTGCGCGAGGTTGGTGTGCTGGTTGAGGAGCTTGTACTGCTGCTGGAGGCCCGGAATGCGCTTGACAAAGTCCCGAATCTCCGAGATCGACGCATTTTTCTTGCGAAACTCTTCGTGGCTAATCACACTCGTGTGCAGAGAAGCAGAGGAAGATGGGTCGCGCACCGGTCGCGAATGTCCTTGGCCAAATGCTGGAGGTGCATGCCGAGACGCTCGGTGTGGAAATCGCGGATCTCTGCATATAAATCGTCGCTCGAGTTGAGAGGCACGGTGGCCATGGCCGGGCGCGGCGGCGGCGGCGGCGCGTTCGCCTTGGGCTTCTCCGGCGGGTCTTCGACGAGCTCGGACGCGACGCGGATCGAGCCATGGGAGATGCCAATGATCTCGTCCAGGAGACCTTCGTACGTGAACGGCGTGCAGAGCGGCGTGACAAGGTCGACCGTGCGGTCGAGCACGATGAGCGTGTCGATCTCCGCTTCGGCCGACCCGAGCGCAATCCCATCCGACTTTTGCTTCTTCTGCATGTGCGCGGCCATCTCGACCGCGACCTTGGCCATCGCGCCCTTGTACTTGATCTACAAGCGAAGGAAGCGCCCAGGGTTGAGTCGCGTTGATACCTGCGGGATCAAGCCAAAGAGGATCTGGAACTTGTTGATCGACGTTGCAATCGTCTGGAGACACGACTTGTCGTTGTCGACAAAGAGGTCGCGAAAGCCGTCGGGCAGCTCGAGCGTCAAGACGTCTTCTTCGTACGGGACGAGGTCCATGGGAAACTCGCCAAAGACGATCGAGCCGTGCACGCCGGCCTTCTTGAGCAGCTCGTCGCAGGCCAGCGTGCGCTTGGGCGTGCACAGCATGTGGAAGCGCACCTTCTTCGGGTCCAAGCCTACGACGCATGCATGCGGCGACGCAGCTATGGAGAGCAGAAGTCGTACTCTTGACGATGGCCGCAATGCCGTTGGCCGCCGCCGCCGTCGGGCGCACGATGAAGACCATGACATCGTAGCCCGACCCAGGGTTCTCAGCGATCTCAGCCGAAAGCTCGCGGAACTGGACCACGTCGTAGTCCTTGAGGATGCTCGCGCCTTCGACCAGCACGTGCTGGAAAAGCCCGCTGAGCTCCGGGTCCAGCACGAGCGCGATGCTCGTTTGCCGGTCCTTGATGTGGCACTTGGTCAGCATCTCGAAGAGCAGTCGGCGCGTGTCCTCGCGGAAGACGCCAATGTTGACCGCGCTGTTCTCGAGCGACGCGACGCGGGCTGCCATGCTGTTCCTCCGCAGTCACTAGATGAGGTGCAAAGTTATAACCATGTGTTAGATTCCACTGCTATTGTCGGCATGTGCCGAATATACGTTTCCGTAATGTTGCGGCACCTGCCGCCTATTGTATCCGGATCGAAACCTTCCGGATACAATGCTACCCGGATAACCTCGTCCGGATAGACAGCAGCTGGATGCCCGATCACCACCGTTCCACTGGATCTTGCAACTTGGAATCGGGCTATGATAACACCAGCTTGGCCAGCAATTCGTGAGGACAACGACCTGCTCCACAGTCATCCTGGACTTACTAACGTCTTCGAGCGTGTGCGATACGTAAATTTTGGTGGCAACGCTGGATCATGCATGACCCATGCTCGATGCACCGATTTGCGTTCGGTTGAAGTCGAGGCGAGATTCATATCTCGTCACCTTACCAAGCTGACTACACTGGGAGCTTAACCAAGTACTTATATGTGCCCCAAAGCTCTTCCCATGTGATCCCACGTCAGTGCGTCCACCGACCACTCGCAGCAACGTCGTCGGCTCCGCCTGCGCTGTCGTCGAGGTCCATCAACCGTGCGACGACCACGAGCAGCTGCATGCGTTAGCCGAAACCCCTCGACGGATCACGGCCAAGGATCTGCGCGTGATCATTAGAATTCGACGAGCGGTCGAGACAAGCCATGTCCTAGCCCTTTCTCTATATATCTTGCATGGTCTATTCATATCGTGGTCTTCTTGAGGCCCGATTTTTTCGCGAGATCGGTCGCGTTTGGCTGATGGCCAGCGTTTTGGCGGTAATCGAAGCTCTACAAGATCGGAGGTAGCCAATCAGAGGCGTTGACGGCTCCTCGCCCAATGGCCTGGACGTCCGTTCAGTTGCAAAGTTGCCAGCACGATGCCAGCCGACGTCACCGACGTGGCCGAGGCCGCGCCCACCGAGTACATCGCCGTAGCGACGCCCAAGGCCGGGGCGCCGGCCATCGAGCCCGAGACGCCGGTCAACGAGAAGGGCCAGATGGTCCCGCTCACCAAGCTCTTTAGCTATGCCGAGCGGACCGACGTGCTTCTCATGGTCGGCGGAACGCTCTGCGCGATGGGCACGGGCGTCTCGCAGCCGCTCCAGATCATCTTCTTTGGCGACATCCTCTCGGCGTTCAACCCGGGCTCGACCACCAACACGAACGTCAGCAGCGACGTGAGCGACGGCATCAACAGCATTGCGCTCAAGTTTGTGTACCTCGGTATTGGCGTCATCGCCTGCGGCTTTGGCCAAGTCGCTTGCTGGTCGATTGCGGCGTCGCGCCAAGGCAAGCGGCTCAAGTTCGAGTACATTCGCGCGATCTTGCGCCAAGAAATTGGCTGGTTTGACGTCAACAAGCCGATGGAGCTCGCCACCAAGGTGGCCGACACGTCGCTCATCATCCAAGACGGCATTGGGCGCAAGGTCGGCGACGGCATCAACTTCTTCTCGATGGGCATCAGCGGCATCATCATTGGTCTCGTCAAGGGCTGGAAGCTTGCGCTCGCGCTCTTGGCGTTTACGCCGTTCATTGCGCTCACAGCCTTTCTCATGGTCAAGACCTTGTCGAGTGCGATCCAGATGGGCATCTCGGCGTATGCGTCGGCCGGCGGCATTGCCGAAGAGAGCTTGAGCAACATTCGGACCGTCCAAATGTTCAACTCGATGGACAAGTTTGTCGCCAAGTACGATGCATCGCTGCTCGCGACCGAGAAGGCGGGCATTCGCAAGGGCATTGCGATCGGGCTCGGTACGGGTGTCATGTTTGGCACCATCTTCTTCACGTACGGCTTTGGCATGTGGTTTGGTGCTGTCCAAGTCGCCGACGACCAGCTCGGCAGCGTCAAGTGCACGTCCGACTGTTATGACGGCGGTCGCGTGCTCACAGTCTTCTTTTCGATTATCATGGGAGCAATGGCCCTCGGGCAGTCGGGCCCGTCGATCCAAGCCGTCTTCTCGGCCCGCACGGCAGCCCACGGCGTCTTTGCGATGATTGAGCGCGCTTCGCTCGTGGACCCGCTTGACGAAGGTGGCGCGACGTTGCCCCATGTCGAGGGCGAGATTCGCCTTGAGAACATTGAGTTTTACTACCCAGCGCGCCCCGAAGTCCGCGTCTGCTCGGGCTACACGCTGCAGATTGCGGCCGGTGAAAAGGTCGCGCTCGTTGGGCCGAGTGGGAGCGGCAAGAGCACGATCGTGTCGCTTCTCGAACGGTTTTACGACCCAACGCGCGGGACCGTCTTCCTTGACGGCGTCGACCTCAAGACGCTCAACGTCAAGTGGCTTCGGCAGCAAGTGGGGCTTGTCGGGCAAGAGCCGTCGCTGTTTTCCGTCTCGATCGCCGACAACATTCGCCACGGCAAGGACGGCGCGAGCATGGACGAGGTCATTGCCGCCGCCAAGCAAGCGAACGCGTACGACTTTATCATGGGCTTTCCAAAGGGCTTTGACACGGAGGTCGGCGACCGCGGCGCGCAGCTCTCGGGCGGCCAGGTATTTTTTGTTGCATTTTTTGCATTTTTGCATTTTTTGCATTTTTGTGGGTCTCGGTTGATAGATTGATATTGTGTAGAAGCAACGTATTGCGATTGCGCGCGCGATCATCAAGAACCCGGCGATTCTGCTCTTGGACGAAGCCACGTCGGCGCTCGACACGGAGAGCGAGCGCGTCGTGCAAGAGTCGCTCGATCTGCTCCTCGCGACGCGGAAGCGGACGACGATCATCATTGCGCACCGCCTCTCGACGATCCGGGACGCCGACCGCATTGTCGTGCTGGAGAAGGGCGTCGTCGTCGAGCAAGGGTCCCACACCGAGCTCATTGCGCGCTCAGACGGACACTACCGCAAGCTCGTCGAGGCGCAGTCCCGCGCCCACACCAAGCCCGATGCATCGACCGACGACGATGTGGTCGAGATGGCGGCCGACACACCGGCTGCCAACGCGCGCAAGATGAGCTCGACCAAAGCGCTCATCGTGACACCGGTGGCATCGTCGCCGGACGCCAAAGACGAACCGCCCGCGCTGTACAAGGTGCCCATGTCGCGCGTCTGGAAGCTCAGCGCACGCGAGAGCGGGCACATCCTTCTCGGGTCGCTCGGTGCGGTGGTCAACGGCGCCATCTTTCCCGTTTGGGGCGTGCTCTTGACCAAAGTCACGGTGCTCTTCTTCGACTACTCGATCTCGGGCGACGAGATGCGGACGCGGGCGTCGCACTGGGCGCTTGGGTTTGTCGGGCTCGGTGTAGCGTTTTGCGTGTCTGTCGTTGTGCAAAACTACGGCTTTGCGGTCGTCGCTGAACGCCTCACTCACCGACTGCGCTACATGGGGTTCAAAGCCATGCTCCACCAAGACGTCGGGTGGTTTGACCTCGAGACCAACTCGTCTGGGGCGCTCACGACGCGGCTTGCGACCGACACGGCGATGATCATGGCCATGACGAGCGAGACGCTCAACCGCGGGCTTGTCAACGTCGCGACGCTCGGCGTGGCGTTTGGCATTGGGTTTTACTACAGCTGGGAGATGACACTTGCGATGCTCGGCATCTTTCCGATCCTGGGCGCTGCGTCGTACGTCCAAATGCAAATGATGTCGGGCCACGGCAAGAAGCTCAACGAAGGCGACACGAAGGCCGGGTCGCTCCTCGCCGAGTCGATCAACTCGGTGCGCACGGTGGCGTCGTTTACGATGGAGTCGAACGTGCACACGACGTACCTCGGGCACCTCGCGACGTCGGCGGCCGCGGACGTGAAGGCGGGTCTTGGCGGCGGCATTGGCTTTGGTGTCTCGCAAGGCGTCATGTTCATGGCGATTGCATTCCTCTTTTGGCTCGGCGGCGTCTTGATCACACGCGAGAACTCGGACACGACGTTTGAAGACATGTTTATGGTCATGATGGCCATCATGCTGAGCTCGTTTGGCGTCGGTATGGCGGCACAGAACATGACGGACGCGGCCAAGGCCAAGGCGGCGGCTGCAAGCCTCTTTGAGACTGTCGACCGCGTCCCACCCATCGACTGTGCGAGCGAGACTGGCGCGACATTGCCGACCGTCCGCGGCGAGATTGAGCTCCGGAACGTCCACTTCAGCTACCCGTCGCGCCCCAACGCCCCGATTTATACCAACTACAACTTGGTCATTCCAAGCGGAGCGACAGTCGCGCTCGTGGGCGCGAGCGGCTGCGGCAAGAGCACGGCGATTGGGTTGATTGAGCGGTTTTACGACCCGAGCGCCGGCGCCGTGTACCTCGACGGCGTCGACATTAAGAGCCTCAACGTCAAGTGGCTGCGCCAGCACATTTCGCTTGTCGGCCAAGAACCCGTCTTGTTTGCGGGCACGATCGCCGACAACATTGCGTCCGGCAAGGACGGCGCGACGCGCGAGGATGTGGTGCAAGCCGCAACGATGGCCAACGCCCACGACTTTATCTTGCAGTTTCCCGATGGCTACGAGACCCAAGTTGGCGACCGCGGTGTGCAGGTACTTCACCGCTAAGTAGCGAGCAGCGAAGACTTATGTGGGTGTAGGTCTCGGGCGGTCAGAAGCAGCGCATCGCGATTGCCCGTGCGATTCTGCGGGACCCCGAGGTGCTGCTGCTGGATGAAGCCACGTCGGCGCTCGACAATGAGAGCGAGCGCATCGTGCAAGCGTCGCTCGACAAGCTGCTGCAGCTCAAGAAACGGACGACGATCATTGTGGCCCACCGGCTGACGACGATCCAGAACGCCGACATCATTGCAGTCGCGAGCAACGGCGTGATTGCCGAGAAGGGCACGCACCACGAACTCATGAAGATTCCCAACGGTCTCTACGCCGCACTCGTGTCGCGCCAGATGCAGCAGCCGTCCTAAGTGCGCTCATTTGGAGTCTAAAACACAAAATACATGGTAGTGCATGCCCAGGATGGGTCGTGACGGCGAGAGGTCACTGGCAGAGATGGCGTGACAGAGTTGACCCATGCATAGCGTAGCGACGGTGGCGGCATTGCTCCGGTGTCGAGGTCTCGGACTCTACTGTGTCTGCGTGGGTTGGAACCCGGCACATCGACTAGCCCGCTAAACGATACTACTGTGTGGTCACTTGTGGACGACTAAGATTAGGGCTAGGGTAAGATTAGGGTTAGGGTACAGAACGCTAGTTGCCTGTTGCGTGCCAAGGCTTAGTAGTGCATGAGAAATCAACCGGTACTCGACTACACTCTGTACAGGGTGCATCCTAGCTAGTCTTGGACTGTACGACCATGTACCATACTCAAAGTGTCCAGACGAAGAGATTGAAAGAGGCAGAGTGCAAGCATTCTTTTAGTGTCAACTAAAGTCGGCAAAGAAGGCAGCGTCCTTGGTGTGCACGCGGGAGACGATGGTTGGCGTTGTCGTTGGCACGGATGGCGTCGCGCGGTGTCGGAGGGAGACGACCGAAGTTGGCGCCGGTGCCAAGGGCGAGACGCCCTTGAGAAGACGCGCGACAAAGTGTACTCGTGGCTGTGGCATGCTTTCCAGTGCGCTCGTCCGGATTCTGCGACCAGAAACACAAACGACCCACTGGTGCGCACGAGGCCAAACCCAGAGTGAGCTCCTGCTGCGGCAAAACCGGTGACGTGGCGCCTTGCAGAAGCGCCCTTGTCGTAATTTGGTCCAATCACAAAGCCACAACGTTAAACGCAGCGATAAAACCCAACCAATCCCAACGCGAGCACATCCGAGGTTTCGAGATTCGAAGGTTGTCTCTGAAAATGGACCAACGCCCTGGTACCTTCTGCATCTTTCTGTTGATTCTGTTGCTAGAACTGTGGGTAGAACATTCTCGGATCGATTTGCACATCACAAACATCCACTCTATTTCAAGGTAATGCATGGCGCTTGGAGCGTGCTCATAGGAGCTTTCAGTTAATCGAAGAAAAGGTGGGACGTGGTTGTCTCGGCTGTTTCTTCTTCCTCCCTTCTCCTGGACCTTGTGCATCGTGTAACATGTAGCAGCGTGCGGTATAAAATCTGGCTCACCTCGCCCTGCTACCACAGCTACCGCGCCCCTCAACACCCTCGACGATGCGGCATCGTGGGTGGACGTCCTTCAATGGTTGCTGTGTGCCCAGTGGCGTGCGTGGACAAGTTGCTGAGTGTCGAAGGACCTGCCTTGTCGCAGCTACGCGCGTCTTGCGCACGTCCAGGTACCGAGAACGAGCCAATCGTCGCTTGTCGTAGCGATGGACCAACGCATGCTGGCGTCGGCGTTTGCTTGGCTATTTGTTTCTTCGAGGCGGAGATCTCGCATAAGCTTTCCGGCTGGTGTCGTCGGTGCGGCTGGTTATGCGCATCCCGGATGGAATACCAGCTAGGATCGAAGCTCTCTTGCCTGCTTGTGGGCAGAAGTAGTCGTGGCTTGGGACCTGCGGGCGGATAGCATTGACTGGGAAGCGGCAGCACGAGACCCATTCTTCTTGGCGAAGGAAAGTGTATATACGAGCGTTTGAGCAGTAACTGTCAGAGGTTTCATCTCACACGTATGTTTTTATCATTTTGAAACCGGCTAGTCCCGTGAAACATGAAGATGCCGTGGTTACAAGGCAGCGCAGATGGCGTCGCCGTCGCAAAGAGGCTTCCGCGCAACGACTATTACCAAGCAGCCGCGCCATGGTCGTCGTGTGCCCCTATACCAGCACGCCGTCGACACTCACGACCGCACGCGCCTACTGCAGCGCGCCAAGCGCCGCGTGCTCTGTCGACGCCACCTGCACGCGGATCGGCGCCGCCATAGCCGTGACGACAGCAACCCCCGCTTTTCGCAACATCTCGAGCGTCGGTGATATGACCGAGTGGCCGACCGATGTGCCCTTGTACGCTGCTTCTTGCGCTTGAAACGTAATGACGTACATCGTCGTGACGTAGGCGATTCGACACGTGCCCTGGCCTGCGCACCGACCACATTAAGCTCCCAACGGCGCTTCAGGACTTGTAGGACCCTTGGTCGAAACCTTACCACTGATAGACTGGTGTAGACGCTTCCTTGAGTGCGGATGGACAACGGTCCCCGCTGCGTTGGCGTACCCGCCGTCGCTCCGCCAAGTGTACGCGAGTCTTTTGAAAACGACAGCGCGTTGTATCCTCTAGGATGTGGTAGGCACCTTAGTCGCAATCCGCTGACGGCTGTACCAGCGGGCCTTCCGGCCGCCCTTGATGCGCTGTACGTTTTGAGTTCACTACGATGCATCGTCACCGTTTTCCGCCGTAGATATCTCGACGGGTGCCTTCTCACGGCGCTTGAGCAGCTGCCACCGCAGATCGGCTCCTTGTAAGTCGCGACGACCTTTGCCATCTCGCTCTCACGCAGTCTAGACATCTCGAGAGCAACCGTCTCTCAACGCTGAGCAACGTGGACTTTGACGTTGCAAACTTGTGGGTCCCGTCAATTGACTGCATCATGTCGATTTCGCTGGTCCTCTAGGTACCTCGGCGAGCTTCCCGCGGCAAATATTCTCTTCCACGACACTCCTGGCAACCCTATCCACACCATTTTCAACGTCACGATTTCAACACGGTTGCGCCTCATGTACGTCCCAATTCTACTCCACTGCGGACACCAAATTCAACACGGAGTGGGCTGTAGCGACTGTCCGCAGTGCGCCATCACAACGTTTGTCGTCAACGAAGCCGCCTACACCGCGCTGCAAGCCGCCACCTTGTCGTTTGAGAGCATTGCTTTCAACGCAACGGCGTGCAACGCTGTACACGGCCGACCTGCCATCTTGCACAAGTGGTCGATCTGTGTCCTGCCTGACCGTATCTCCCTCTCATATATTGTCATGTCGTCTCACACTCGCATGCGGTAGCTGACGCAACAACGGACGGGCCATCGACGACCACGATCGTCGAGATCGTCGCGGGGTGCTTTGTGCTTGTCATGGCGGCAACCTTGCTCTTTGTGTGGCGTCGCCGCCGCCAGCACCGGAACTCGTCGACGGTCGTCTTTGAAGTCTACGACGATTGCGACCTGACGCCCACCTCCATGTACGAGCCGCGCGAGACGCTCGACTCGTGCTCGCTCATAGTACCCGAGCTCGACACCATCAAGCACCTGCGTCTCGAGGCCAGCGACGTCCTCCTCCTCGCGCCCATGAGCCAAGGCTCGTACGGCGAGGTGTGGCAAGCCCACTATCAAAAAGACACGATCGCGATCAAGAAACCGATGCCGTCGTTCCTCTCGGCCACCAACATGCGGCGGATGATTGCCGAGATCTTGCTGCTCTCTCGCCTCTCGTCTCCCTTTGTGGTGACACTCCTTGGCGCGTGCTGGAACCGACCCATGGACCTCATGATGGCGATGGAGTACATGGATGGCGGCAACCTCCAAGGCCACTTGGCGCGCCACTGCCAAACCAGCTTGCCCTGGAGCTTCAAGCTCCAATGCTTGGTGCAGATTGCCCAGGCCCTCGCTTACCTCCATGCGATACCCGTCGTCCACCGCGATCTCAAATGCAAGAACGTCCTTCTGGATGAGAAAAAGGGCACCAAACTCGGCGGCTTTAGCATTTCGCGCGAGACGAGCGCGACCATGACCTTGGGCGCCGGCGGACACCGCTGGATGGCGCCCGAAGTGCTTCACGCCGCCGACTACTCGACGGCCGTCGACATTTTTTCTTTTGGTATAGTTGAATTCGAGTCCTTGTCGGAAATGACGCTTTGACTAGGCATGGTGCTCACCGAGTGCGATTCGCACCGCGCACCGTACGATCGGGAGTTGGACCCGGACACGGGCAAACTCCTCGCCGAAGTCGCGATCGCGCGCCGGGTGTCCATGGGGGAGCTCACGCCAACGTTCACGAGCACGTGCCCAGCGTGGCTCGAAGCTCTCGCAACCCGCTGCATTGACTTGACACCGCAGAACCGACCGACGGCCGCCGATCTTTTGCGCGATCTGCAAGCGCTCTTGGCGGCCGAGCGACGCGACAACGACATCGAAATCGACGATGACGACGTGCGCGGGGACAGTCGCGACAGCCTAACTTAAAATTCTACCTTGTGGACCCGACCGAAGGGTCCACGCGTTCTGCGTACTTGCAACTTGGTTCGCCTTTGTCCACCGCGTCGCGAGGTCGATGCTGAAACGAGGTGACCGACCGTCGTTCGCACTGGCGACCGCAGTACTTGCCCAGACACGTCCACCACGTAGCCCAGAGGTAACCGGGGCCAGGGGTATTGGTTACGGGTGCATCAGGTGGGCCCAGTGTCAAGGACCCACGACGCCAGTATCGGCAAGAGTTGACGGACCACGGGGCGATCCCGTGACCTCATCAGTTCCAACCAACGTGCAATGGGGTGCTCCATCGAGATGAAAATCCCCGCAATGTAAGTGTCAGTAGATAGCCCTCACGCTTGCGGTCCAGCTTCAACCATTTGGTGCCATCACTTGGCCTTTCTGCGAGATTGCCTTTGCGGCCACACAACATGCTATCGTACAGCGCTGGACGTCGAGGTACGTCGCGACGGGCAAGTAGGCCCATTGCATCGGCTCTCGTAGACCCGCCACATCGATCGAGGCTTCTTGCCCTCGCCGCCATGGCCGTGCTTGTCGCCGTCCTCGGCTACACGGCGCTATCGCACGCAGCACTGCGCGCCAACGCCGCTGTCCTGGCGTCAATCACAACAACGACGCCAGCGCAAGCCTTTCTAGCTCCTAGCCGCCTGCCTCTCAAGTTTGCTGTGGCGCACGTCACGCCGCGCAAGACCCAAGACACACGGAGTACGTGCTGGGCATTTGCAACGATTGCGATTCTCGAGCATTCGTACCGACAGCAAGGTATCGCGAACGGATGGCTCACGCCGCACGAATACCTCTCGCTGTCCGAGCAAGCGTACGGCGCGAGCGTCCTTCGTCTCTGCACGTCCCGCAAAGACAAGCCCCAATGCTACAAGACGGCCGTCGACAACACGACCGAAGGCGGCTACATCGAGGAGCTGTCGCTGCTCCGCACCAACCCCTCGGTGTTTCCAGACGCGCTTTGCCCGTATATGCCGGCGCCTGGCAGCAACACGACGTGTCCAAGCCTGCACAACGCGACGATCACGGTGCGCAACCCGCTGGCATTCGCACTGCACCGCATGACCGAGTACTTTGGCCACACCGACATGAAGATGGCTTTGGTCCGCAACCAACGGTACAACATTCTACATACTGTACTGCATTGCTACAGGAGAACAAACGAGCGCTGTGTGTAGAGCACTCGGCTTTAGCACCGAGCTCGCTCGCAGCCATCACGCACTATCTGCCTTGCATTGGGCACCGAACCTCCGACTCACGCTGTGACGTGCGATCCAACGAGTGCGTGCTGTGCCCCCCAGGGTACCCGACGGTGTGCTGCCTTACCATCGAAGGCAAGTCGGACACCAACATGGACGGCGAGTTCACGTCCCACTACGGCATGGAGGCCGAGGGTGGCCACGCGATGCTTCTCGTTGGCTACAACGACGAGTACACGACCAAGGACGGCTACACGGGCGGCTACATCCTCAAGAACTCGTGGTGGGACGGCGTCGCACGGCCTTTAGGACCTCCAAGCGCGCACGGCAGCCACAGCATCCGCTATTTTTTGCAGGTACCTCGTACCCTAAACCTACCCTAGCCCTCACCTCGTTTTTCTAGGAAATCTCCGAGTTTGAAGAGCGCTTCAACTGCCCCAACAGCGCCAACCCGGCCAACTGGTACCAGTGCCAAGGTCGCGTCGGTGTCATCCACGCCGACGCCGATGCGGGTGTCATTCGCGCGCCAATCAATGCGTCGCTTGTCGCTTTTGACGAGTGCTTGAGCGAGGACACGCGCCGTGACGCGGCGTCGTCCTTCTCGCCGCTGCATTTGAGCTGCACCAACGATGCGCTCTGCAAGGCGAACGCGACGTATTTTGTGCGCAACAGCACGGCGGTCGGCGACGGCTTCCAGACGTTCTGCTTCTTCGAGTATGTCCGCGACGGCAACTCGAGCGACGTGTGTTTGCCGGCGATGCTCCCGACCGACCTCGCGCACGCATTTGCGCCCATCGAAGCGGAGGCGTATGTCAACAACCCGGACGTGTGCGGCTTTTACTTTTACCCATACGCCAAGCAGCGCGCGGGCGCGGCCCTCGGCTGGGAAGTGAGCGCCGACGACCTCGACGTGACGTGGGCGCCGCAGTCGTATGCGGCCAACGCGCACAAGTTTCCGACCCTCGACTACACGCTGGTACAACGTTAGTTGTTGCTACGGTGGATCTCATGCTGTATGGTGATGATAATTAGGTGCGGCAGTCGACCAAGGTGCAAAAGGCGGCGCCGGTGCTGGGCCCGATTCCCGTCTACGTTGCGCGCGACGAGCTCTAAGCGGTAGCAAAAGAATCGCAGACGAATTTTGAAATTCGGTGTTTTGGTCGAGCGCATAATATAGTGGTTTGGAGCTAGAGTACATCCATTCAATTTTAATTTACTGAATTTATGGACTCTAGTTAAGGGTTGCGGTTGTGTTGATTACTATTCGGTGCTGGTGTGGCTTTACTAGTATGATACTAGTCCGCCAGAGATTTGTCATTTGAGAGATATTGTTTATCGATGAAGACTATACATACACGCGTACCGACGTATGAGCTTGCTGTTCTGCTCCAAAAAGGCTGCTCCCAACAAACGCCGCTGCCACGTCACGCCATCCGGATAACTACGGATACGACAAACCTTCGCAATTCACGCACTTCTGAACAACGAGCATGACATCCACACTGGGTGGCAGCCACGAGCTCATGTCGCGGCTTAGGATTCAGCCTCCGATTTGCGCGCTCAAACCCAAGATCCAGGTGAATACCTCGGTACGAGCCATCTGCAGCAGGGCTTGCGAGGCATGGATGTCTTACGCCGCGCTGCCACGTCACGCCATCCGGATCCGGACCGTTCCATGGACTGTTGTACGACAATACACTTCGCAAGCGCGCACTTTTCAAAGAGCAGCATGGCAGCCACACTGGGTGGCAGCCGAGAGCTCATGGCCACCATCGCGGACTATGTCCCAAGCCGCGAGGCCTTGCGCACGCTTTTGGAAGTGCTACCACCCAACTTGCTCGGTAACGCGTGGACCAAAGTCCTCCAGCTTCTCCAACACCCAACGCTCGACCCGAACGCACTCTGGCCGATCGCGCGGTACAACCCCTTCGAGGTCGTCTTTGACGTCAGAGGAGGGTTCAATGTGAGGATGCTACCGCAGCATGAGCCGCTTTGGGCCATGGGCGTCGACGTGGAGGCCGACTACCCACGCGGCTGCGGCGTCAGCTGTTGGCGTCGCGTGCCGCCACAGCTTCCCGCCGTGCAAGGCTCCACAAGGCCGGCAAGAACTGTTGAGAAAGGCGTCCGGACGAGCAGCACGGTTGAACTGTCGCCGTCCAGCACCGTGGACGACGTGGTGCGCTACGCATCCGAAGTGGCGGCAACGTCATCGCTGTGCCACGTCACCATCAACCTCTCCCAGATAGAGCATGAGCTCGAGTCTTGGCCGGCCCAGTACGAGTACTATACCAAAGTGTTTCCTGCTGCGCTCGAGCCATACGTCTGGTCGGCCCTCTCTCCGTCGCATATCGTCGAGGTCGCAATCGTCGGCAGCAACCTCTTGGCGACTGCCGATGGTGTCCAGTCCGCTATCGAATGGCTCACGTCGCGACCTGCGCGACGTCTCTGCTTGGCCGAGGCCAAAGTTGACGCCCACGATGTCACCGCTCTCGTCACCGCGATGCGCGACTGCACCACGCTCTCGACCATTGAGCTCAGCTACGACCTTGTGCTTCTGCCAGCGTTCTTGTCGGCGCCGCTGCCTCGTCACTTGCGCCGCTTGCGATTGTTTGCAAGCGAGGACCCGTACCATGCAGAGACGGGCTGGCACAAGATCACGTCGCTTCCGGTGGCTCTCGTGACCACAGCCATCGCCGGCTCGGCGTTGACGCACTTGTCGATCGATCTCGACAGTCTGGGTGACGACCAAAGCGCCGCTACGATCGTATCGACTGCGCTGGAGCGAATGCCATCTCTCGACCACTTGGAGCTGCTCAACGTCCGTCGTGCTCCTCTACTAAACGCAGCGCTTGAAGCAGGCGCAGCGCGGATCGCAACGCTTGAGTCGATGCGAATGCACGAATATCAAGTGCTAACTGCTGACATGTTTGGCGGCGGTTCCGACTATTAGCGTTTCATGATGTATCGAGTAGCAAAATAAAGAAATCACATTTCATCTGCGTTTGTGCTCTTCCAGAATCCACGAAACACGTGCAGCGCAATAGGATTATCAGCATTCTCTTCGCTATTCTGACGTCGGAACAAACGTCGTTAAAAATGGTTCAGGCTCGATGGCGTTCCCCTGGCCTCTTCCTAAAGCCAAACCAACAAAAGGTGATACCTGTCAGCATCATGCAGCAGCAATGACTACATGTGTAGGATGTCGAAGAAGCGGGCTCTTGGGGCCAGAACCCAGAAGTCGCTGGCAAACATCCGCCCAACACACTGTTGGCACTGAGATGCGGCCTCGAGCTTCAAACGCGCACTCTGCTACCACGCTGCTGCACGATTGTCATCGTTGGCGCCACATGGTCGTATCCGGACGCATCCGAATTCCACAACCCGCGCCAGTTTGCACTTTTATTTTTTGAGATGGCAGCGACAGTCGGCGGCAGCCACGACCTCATGGCTGCCATTGCGAGCTATGTCCCGAGTGCCACAGCCTTGCGTACGCTGCTGGAAGTGTTGCCACCAGCCTTACTCGGCGGCACGTGGGTCAGCGTCCTCCGTCTTCTCCAGCACCCGAAGCTCGACCCAAATGCGCTCTGGCCGACAGTGCAATTCAAGGCCATCGAGGCCGTCTTTAATCCCAGAGGCAAGATCGATGTGTGGGCGCTTCCGGAGCTCCAGCCGCTCTGGGCCATGGGCGTCGACGTGGCGTTCCAGTACATGTACGACGACGATATCGCTCGCCTCCGAGATGCACAACCGCTACTTGTCGACGTTGACGCCTTTGGCTTCCAAGAGTGCGCGACTGTCAACGTTGCGAAAGGCGTCTGGACGGGCTGCATGCTGCGGCTTTCTTCGTCGAGCACCCAAGACGGCGTCGCGGCCATGGCACGTGCCGTGGCGACGATGCCATCCTTGCGCCATGTTACGCTCAACCTTTCCCAGGTTTCTTGCGTGCTTGAGAGTGACCCACCCGAATTTGAGTACTTCGCCGCACCATTTCCTGCCGCGCTCGAGCCATACGTCTGGACAGCCCTCTCTCCATCGCATCTCGTTGATGTCACGATCCTCGGCGGGGACCTCTTGGCGACGACCAAAGGCGTCAGTTCGGCCATCCAATGGCTTGCGTCTCGGCCCCTGCGACGCCTCTGCTTGTCGGACGTCAGAGTCGCGGCCCACGACGTCGATGCTCTCGTGACTGCGATGCGCAACTGCACCACGTTGTCGACCATCGAGCTCAGCTACGATCTTACGCTAGTGTCGGCGTTCTTGTCGGCGCCGCTGCCACGTCATGTGCGTCGCTTGCGCTTGTTTGTGAGCGACGAGCCGTACCATCCAAAGTCAGGTTGGTTCAAGATCACGGCGCTTCCCGTCCCATCTGGTCGTCTCGCTCACTTTGTCGCCACGGCCATCGACGGCTCGGCGTTGACGCACTTGTCGCTGGATGTCCACCGTCTCGGCAACGACAGTGTTGCTGCGATCGTGTCGACTGCGCTTCAGAAAATGCCGCGCCTCACCCACTTGGAGCTGCTCAACGTGCCGTCGGGTCCCCACCTTGGCGCGGTCCTTGCAACAAACGCGACACGCATCCAAGCGCTCGAGTCGTTGCGGTTGCAAGAGCAACCAGTCGATTCATTCGACATGTTTGGCGCGTCCGACTACTAGCCCGATTATGACTATAAGTGTAGTACAATTGTATTGTACTGTACGCTACCAATAATTTAAATATGCTTTCCTGGGACAACAGCAAAGGCACGCAAAAGGTACGTAAAACGCACGCAAAAGGTACGTAAAACGCACGCAAAAGGTACGTAAAACGCTCGTAAAACGCTCGCAAACGCTCGTAAAACGCACGCAAAACGCACATACCGAGTAAATGGCACGTAAAAGGCAAGAGCCTCCGAGTGCTTGCTGCGCAAACAGTCTCGATGTTGGCATCTTGCTTTGCGGATTGCTTGCTTGCAGCGCAGGCTTGCATCGTATTCAATGGGCGACACCGCGACCTTTTGCACTACGGCACGTTATCCGGCTTCATCCGGATACGACAACCCGCAACACTTTTCAAGATGGCCACGACGGTCAGGGACAGCAGGGACCTCATGGCCGCCATCGCTGGCTACGTACCCAGCGCTACAGCGTTGCGCAATTTCTTGGAAGCGCTGCCACCGGCCTTTCTTGGCGAGACGTGGGCCGGCGTCCTCCGACTTCTCCAGCATCGCCGGCTGGACCCGAATCGCATCTGGCCAGCGGTGCACTACGGGGCCCTCGAGGGCGCCTTTGTCTCCAACTACAAAACCAACGTGCTCATGAACAGGAAGCTTCGGCCGCTCTGGGACGTCGGCCTCGACGTGGAGATGGGGTACTTGAACAACCAGCGATTCGACCGCTTGCGACAACTCGTGCCCAATCTCATCGATGTCGATGATGTCTTTGGCTATGGCCAAGACTCGGCCCGTGCCAATGTAGCAAAAGGCGTCTGGACGGGCTGCACGATCCGCCTCTCGCTCGTACGCACCCAAGACGACTTTGCTCGCATTGCAACGACGATGGCGGCAATGCCGTCCCTGCGCGAACTCACGCTCAACCTCTCGCAGCTGGCGGAGGCCCATCCGTATTACATCCCGCCCGAGTACATTTACCATACTGCACCATTTCCTGCGTCGCTCGAGCAGTACCTCTGGGCGGCGCTCGCTGCGTCGCGCATTCTCGACCTCACGCTCCTCGGCGGCCACCTCGTAGCGACGACCGACGGCATTGCATCGGCCATCCAATGGCTCACGTCTCGGCCAATCCAGCGCCGCGTGCACCGCCTCTGCTTTGACGACGTCAAAGTCGAAGCAAATGACGTTGCTACCCTCGTGACGGCGATGCGCGAGTGTACCACGCTCTCGACGGTCGACCTCAGCTACGACCGAACGCTTCTGCCGACGTTCTTGTCGGCGCCGCTGCCACGTCACGTGCGCCGCTTGGGCTTGTTTGTGAGCGAAGGACGGTATTACCTCGACTCGGTCAGCCTCAACATCACGTCGCTTCCGGTGGGTCTTGTGGTGACGGCCATTGCCGGCTCGGCCTTGACACACTTGCGGCTGGACGTCCAAGATCTTGACAACCAGAACATCGCTGCGATCGTGTCGACGGCGCTCGAGCGGATACCAAGCCTCCAACACTTGGAGCTCTCCAACGTTCGGCGTGGGCCCAAGCTGACAGCGGTGCTTGAAGCCGGCGCGGATCGACTCGCAGGGCTCGAGTCGGTGCAACTGCACGAGCTGGAAGTAGCCAGGATCGAGAGCCCAGAGCCCGATGTTGATGCCGCCGGCATCTTTGGCACGTCCGACTACTAATGTCTCTCCTCGTAAACTAGATCGCGGCGGCTTTGAATCCCTCCAGAACACGTTTTCTTGCGCGTTGCAGAAAGGTGGCATGCTAGGACTTTATAGAGCATATATAAGTAGAACTTTATAGAGCGTATATAGCTAGGACTAGCGGGACAATGCGAGCAAGCTCGCGTACATTGCACACTTGCGACAACACCACAGCTGGCTCGAGTTGTGGGACACCTATTGTCACGTTCGGCTCTACTCGATGGAGCCGCACGTGCTACGTGCTATCGTATATGCCTACACGAAGCATGTAATATATCTGTCGTAGCTTCAACGGACAATCTGTCCGTGCGCGCCACAATCTCTGAGTCTCGTGGTTCAGATCTCAGTTCCGCAAAAGGTCAACGGACATGCGAGTGATGGTCTTTTGCATAGTGTTTGTCGATATAAAAACAGACAGGCGGGATGGAGTCGATGGACGAGGCGAAGAAGGAGCGCCGACGGCTCGTGCTGCGCCTCCGCAACCGCGTCAAGCAGAAGAAGCGTCGGGATCGGTACCTCAGCGAACGCGAGCGGCTTCTAGCGCAAGTGACCGAGATGCGGTCGGTGCTCACGGAGCTTGGGCACAAGCAGGTCGTGCCCACGAGCTTGCTGCCATGGAAGGACGTGGCCGGCAGCCTCGCGCAGGCCAGCGTCGAGGCGCGCCTCTCGCTCCAAGTGCTGCGCGACCGGTGCGAGGCCATGTACCGCCTTGGCCGCGTCATGTCGGCGTGGGTCGGGTCCATGTCCCGCCGCAACAACGTGCCGGTACTGCTTGCGTGTGTACGATACCTGACGCATCTTTCTTGTAGGACGTGGATCGGCCATTCACATCGACGCCGATCGTGCTGCTCGCCGACGCAGCGTCCCGCAAGCTCGGCCTCGACTGGTTCACGCAGCACATGTACCACAACACGGACCGCATGCAGCAGCTTTGCGCCTTTCCGAGCGCGGGCACCGTCCGTGATATCTCTGTCGTCGACCACGAAAACGGCGTCTCGGACATCCTTGGGCGTATTCAGATCGACTGCGACTTGCCGCTCGAGGCAACGTACGCAGCACTCCACGATAAGATCTGGGACGAACTCCGCGGCGACACGCAAGCCGCCATGTCCGAGTTCCTTGACGGCGATGTACAGTGCAATCTCGTGATGCTAGACGAGGTCAAATGTGCTTTTCGTAGCTCATCAAGAGCATCGATGCCAAGATGGTGTATCGACGTACAGCGCTCACAGCTGAAGAAAGCAACTACTACGTCTGCCGCGAGTTTGTGACCCAAGACCGGATCGTGTTTCTGTTTGGGAATTTCAGCCAAGACGCACTCCAGCCCGAGAATGTCCGGTGGCGCCCCCGCATGTTTTGGTACGTATTGTCATATTGTGCGATAGAAATAAGGGATTCATTAATTGCGCATCTAGGTACTGCCTCGAGCGTTTAGGCGCCGGCCACACTCGCATCAAGCAGATGCTGTACAATGGCCCCAAAGTTGTTCACAACCAGATCATCCCGTGGACGAATGACGCCGACTGGATTTTGAGCGACAGCATCTCGGACAACCCGCAGTTCCAACAGTACGAGCGCTGGGTCAACAAGGACTGGCAAGCGATGCTCGAGAGCGACTTTGCTGTCCTCTCGAGCCCCCGGCGCCGCGATTTCTCCAGTGCGCCGTGATGAGTTTCTGTATCGGCAATGAATGAATAGATCTCTCCATGTGTTTCAAAGGCAAGTCGTGTTGGAGTTGCATTGACAGTGTTAGGTTAGAACAAACGAAAATATGAAATCGACTAGACAACGGGGTACGCGACCAGAGTTGCGTTGTCGCTGCAGTCGCACGTACTTTGGACGCCGACTTGCGTCGAGGCCTGCGCCAAAAGACACGGTGCACAGCAGAGAGCAGCGCCCGCGTCTCGCCACTCGGCGCGTGGTAAGCTCAAAAGCTCCCGCAGATAGACGCGGAGGTTGAAGAGCACGATGGTCGGTACAAGCATCACCAACGCCGCAAAGAGGAATGAGCCTGGAGACGTGTCGTGCCAGACCAGATTGGCGAGCGCACCAAGTGTGCAAACCACCCAGAAGACACCAAAGATAAGGGTAGAGCCAAAGCGCACGAGCCCCAGCAGCGAGAACACCTTGGCCAGCACCACGATCGGACAGCACGAGGCCATGGCCAGCGCTTGCACGTCGTTGCATGACAGCAGCAGTACCTTCCAGTCGGCCGGGACACCGACAAACTCGGTCTCGTCGTCTTCCGAGATGACGACCAGAGTCTTTTGGCGTGGGCCGAGCATCGCAAAATGAAAAGTGAATATGTTATCCCTGAAACACTGGATCATCGCCGAACCGACTTCGTTCTAGAGCGTGCAAAGGTGGGGTGTAAACCACGGGACGACTCGCACAGATCACGACCACACGACAGCGCGCTTCGTCTAATTTCTATAGCTCGACGACGCCCTTCAACAACAACAAGAGTGAGATTTATGGATGATACGTCGTCGTGCACCATTGTAATCACTGTAGCCGAGTGAAGGGGTGTAATCACCCGAACTTTACTGCGCAAGAGTCCAACAACAGTTCGTGAATGATACAAAATGTACCGGTGTCCGGACGTCGACGGCGTTTTGGTGTCGTCGTTGGCCACCGCGTCTTGCAAGGTGACAGAGGACCTCGTGCACCCGTGTTGAGACCTCTTTTAGCCAGCACTTTGCAGTGTATTTCGAGAAAAATCCATGGCGTGCACATTGCCGCATCGATTTCAAGTGCAAAAATGGGAAGCCACCTCTTTCTTGTCTTGCATTGGAATGACAATATTGTGCCATGGCGCAGGGCTGTCGTCGTCGTCGTCGCGAGTGTCCCTCTATGCCGCTTGCCGCATGGTTTGCAGATTATTACCCCACGAGCAGAATGTTGGTCGTCCGCCGCCGCAGGAGTGGGATCCGCATTTTCCGAAACGCCTCCGACGAGCGCAATGGCCCAGAAAGTCCAGTGGACCTGCAAGCGCTTCTCCGAGCTCTCGGCCGAGCGGCTCTACGATATCCTTCACGCGCGCTGCTCCGTGTTTGTTGCAGAGCAAAAGTGCGTCTGGCTCGAGGTCGACAACCTCGACAAGGCGCCCACGATGCGCCACTTGGTCGGCGCGACGCCCTCTCACCAAGTCGCAGCTTACGCGCGGCTTGTTGGCCCGGGCACCAAAGGCCCCACACAAGACTACGCGATGATCAGCCGCGTGCTCACGACTGCAGGCTTTCGCGGCCACGGCCTCGGGAAGACCGTCATGAAGGAAGCGATCGCAGCGTGCGAGGTCGAGTGGCCGGACAAAAGCATCGTCATCAACGCGCAGGCGTACCTCGAGCCGTTCTACAAGTCGCTTGGGTTTGTCCAGACGTCCGAGCTCTACGAAGAGGACGGTATCATGCACATGGACATGATCCGAGTGCCGGCGTCGTCGACGAAGCGAGTGTAGTCGCCAAGAACTGAAAGAGAACTTGGTTGATCGTGAGGCTATCCAGTTATAGAAGACTATTCTCTTGTACATCGACTATACTCTTGTACGCTAGTAGTCTTCTTCAATCGGCTCGTGCAATCGCATCGACTCGAGCGCTGCGATCCGCGCACCTGCTTCACGCACCGCATCCAGCTGTCGACCGCGCTGGACGTTGAAAAGCTCCAAGTGGTCGAGACACAACATTTACTCCAGCGCAGTCGACACATAGCGGCACTTTGGCCGTCGCCCAGACTGTCGAGATCGATCGACAAATGCGTCAACGCCGAGCCGGCGATGGCCGTTCTCACGAGATCCACCGGAAGCGACGTAATCTTGTGCCAGCTCGTCTCTGCGTGGTGCGCCTCGCCACTCGCAAACAGTCGCAAGCGGCGCACATGACGTGGCAGCGGTGCCGACAAGAACTCCGGCAAAAGCACAGGTCGTAGCTGAGCTCGATGGTGGAGAGCGTGGTGCAGGCGCGCATCCCGGTGCGGTGACGTTACGGGCGTCAACTTGGACCTCGGCCAAGCAGAGGCGCCGCAGGGGCCGAAGCGTAAGCCATTCGATAGCGGACTGGACACCATCAGCAGTCGCCAAGAGTTTGCTGCCGAAGATTGTGACCTCTACGGTATGCGACGGGCGGCCCAGACTTATGGCTCGAGCGCAGCAGGGAACGCTTCGGCATGATACTCATACTGGGGCGGGTTAGACTCGAGCACTAGCTCTATCAGAGAGGTCGATAGTGACGTGGCACAGCGACTGCATAGCTAATGTACAGTATGCCATGATTACTGGTAACTCACAAGTCTATTTTTTAGTCAATTTGTCTCTTTCTTGTGCATAGCACAACCCTCAAAACGACGAACAAACGCTTCATTACTTCGGGCCCAAATGTGTCGACTATTGGCAAGTCAAGATGCGGGTCACTATGCTCAGCTGTCGACCGTCCTGAACATTGAGCAGCTCCAAGTAGGCGTGGCGCGGCATTCGGTTCAACGCAGATACCACGATCGCAACGACGTCGTCCAGACTGTCGAAATCGATCGCCGCGTGCGTCAACGCCGAGCCAGCGGTAGCCGCAGTCACTAGATCCACCGGAAGCGGCGTGATCGCATGCCGCGTGAGACGCCGCATGGGCCGAGACATAAGCCATTGGACGGCCAGTCGGAGGTCTCTATTCACCCACATGAGGCCGCGGCCGACGATGGTGATGTCCATGATATGCAGCGGAGAGAGGGCTGCCCAAACGTGCGGTGGGAGGTTGGGACGAAATGGTGCATCGTTGAAGAAGACACACTCGTTCGGGTCCGAGTCGAGCAACGTGTCAATCTGGGCAAAGCTGATAAGGACATGGCGCAGAGAGGGCGTCGCCGCCAGTTCAGACGCATAATGTTCGACGATCTTCAAGGTGCTGGACGGCGACAGATGAATCATGCAGCTCGTCCAAACACCTCGCGCAACGTTGATCATCGCCGAAGTTTGGACACCGAAGACTTGCATGTTGGAAAAATGTGGTGGTACGTGGCGTCGCCAGTCGATGTAGTCGTCGCGTGGGGACTTGAACGCGACATCGACGCCCATGGCCCAAAGAGGTTGAAGCTCCGGAAGCGTCCACACGTTGACCGTACCTCTGGGATCAATGATGGCTGCAATGGCTCTGTACTGCGCAATCGGCCAGAGCGCACTTGGGTCGAGCTTTGGATGCCGGAGAAGACGAAGGACGCTGGCCCACGCATCGCCAAGAAAGGCGGGCGGCAGCACTTCCAAAAGCGTTCGCAAGGCTATAGCGCTGGGAACGTAGTGAGCGATGGTGGCCATGAGCTCTCGGCTGCCACCCAGTGTGGCTGCCATGCTGCCTGCCGGCGTGCTCGTCGGAAGTGACCGTGACGGATTGTCGTATCCGTAGTCATCCGGATAGCCTGACGTGGTAGCGGTGTTTGACGTCGCAACGAGAAAGCGAACTGCAGTATCAGTAGTCGCTGCGTCGGAACACATCTAAGCTTATCCCACATAGCTTGTATCGTCCTTCACCGATGACTCTTCAGAACCAATACCGTATTGGCAAAAGTTGATGATCTTCAAAATGAGCAATCGTGGCGGCTGGGACCAACCATGGCGCAACACCACGCCAATCATGCAATCGACCAAAACACAAAATTTCAAAATTCGTCTGCGATTCAGTTACTACCGCTTAGAGCTCGTCGCGCGCAACGTAGACGGGAATCGGGCCCAGCACCGGCGCCG